GGATTTTTCTTTGACTTGTTTATTTCCATAGATTCCAACAAATTCATCAATTTCCATTTTTCGCTTGGGTAGAGGATTTTTAAATTATCTTATCTATTTTATGTTCCGAATCTTAAAGATGTTCGTACATTAATGCTTTTTTATCCATAATGACATGTTCATTGTACCTTATATCAAAATTTCTACCAGTTTGGCCTGTATATATGGCGTGGCATTCACCACATTCCAGTCGATGAATACCACCAGACCTCTTTCTTTTGTCTAATTCAGGTGTAGTATTGAATAATCTGTTTCCTGAATTTCCGTTGAATATGTAGGATGTTTATAAATTGAATTTTGAAAGATAATTTTCAGAAGTCTCGGAGATTCCACCTGCATAATTGATACTAACATATTTGTGTTCTGGTCTTGTAGAAATTGAATATAGTTCTTCCATTACTGATTTTTGTTGATATTTCATTATAATATTGTTAACTAGAGTAATGGTGTTTTGTTATTAACTGCTATTTGTTTGATGATTGCGATTTCACTTCGGAGGTTTTGATTAGAAAGAAGTATTGTGGAAGCCCTATGTATCATTGACCTGAATGCAGACAATTTCTATGAAATCGGGTTGAAAGAGTCAAAAAATATTGTGCAACCTGTGAATGTGTTTTTTCTGAAAATGTTTAAGTCGAATTTGTCATAGTTTTTGGATATTGCCAAATCAAAAAATGTATATCATTGTTCTCTTCTATTTCTACGCTGAATTTGATTTTGTCGTGTGGACTACTGAGGGATTTCAATTAATGAGTTATTTGTCTCGTTGAACCATCGAAGTCTACTAATATGCCATCTACATATCTGAACCAGATAACAATATGTTTATGGGAAAGAGAATTATCTTAAATCAGATTATTTTCTAAATTATTCAGAATTATTCAGATATCCGCCAGTAACGGACTGAGCGGTGATCCCATCGGTAGGCCTGATTTTTGTATATAATATGTATCATTGAATTTAAAATAGTTTTGTTTCAAAAATGTGCTGAACAGTTCACAGATTTTACTGTTGACATATGGGTCGAAATTATGTATATATTTTTTTCCAGGGAAGGGCATTCGTCTATTGGAATATTTGAAAACATGTTCTTGATGTCAAACGATACTAATTAAATTTTTACTTTAATGAGTTTATTTGTCAGGTCTATAGAATTCAATATGGTGTAAAAAGGTTTGAAATTAGTGATCTCCCTGAATTTGCAATTCAAGAACTTCGACAGCTTATAATCAGGAAAATTGCAAATTCAGGGAGATCACTAATTTCAAACCTTTCCACACCATACTGAATTCTATAGACCTGACAAACAAACTCAGCAACATGACAATTAACAATAAAATTGAATCAGTATTGTTTGACATCAAGAACATGTTTCCAAATATTCTCTGGTAAAAAAAATATTACATAGACATAATATGTCATAATATGTCGTCAACAGTGAACTCTGGAAACTGTTCAACACGTGTTTAAACAAAACTATTTAGAATTCAATAATACATTTACTGAATATTCCTGAATAATTTAGAGAATATTCTCATTTTGCATAACTCTCTTTCCCATAAACATATTGTGTTCTGGTTCAGATATGTAGATGATATATCAGTAGACTTCAATGGTTCAATTAATTGAAATTCTTCAATAGTCTACACGATAAAATGAAATTCACCGTAGAGATAGAAGAGAACAATTATATACATTTTTTAGATCTGACAATATCCAAAACCAANATCTTTTAAATTTTTTGCAGATTCTTTCAGGGATTTGAAATCAATTTATATCATATTAGACAGAAGAAGTCCGATCTAATGAAATGCACCACGAAACATTGTCACCACCTTCAAACTAAACAATAGTCCTCTCCTGAACCTATAACCCAGTTCCCAAAACCTACATTTTATAAAAAAAAATGTTATATTCATTGGTATACTGCTATTAATTGAGGTTATCCCAGGTATAGACAATTTAGGTTCCAAATTATTTATGGTAGGTATTGGCAATGTAGGTATTAATTACTCAAATTTGAATGTAATCTAGTTAGTTTTGAAAATGGTGTGATGACCGAAACTAGTCATAAATATAAAACTATTATGGAAAAGAGACAAAAGTATGTTTTATAGTTTTTATAGAGTATCCTCACTGAAAATGAATTTCCACAAAATAAACAAGTCGTCAATCAAAGAAATACGATTATTATTATTATAAATTAGTTTGTTCATTATTCAAAATGAATTACTTCCCTTGAATTATTTCGTCAAATAATATTAATAATTTTAAGTGGTGAACACTTACCTGGTTAGTTGCCAATCATCGGTGAGAGTGGTAGGTCCAAAAAATCAGTGCAAAGAATTGTTCTCATGTTCTATTTTTTCAAATGAAGTACTAATTGTTCTCTCTGTCTATCTACTCTTACGAAACTAGGCGGATAAGTTATAATCGATGAATATGAAACTACTCTCCCAGGAAGCAGGAATATTATTTTTAATGTGAGTATATACCTGATTTCTGGCCCATTTGAAGACAGTTACTTATTGAAATTCTCTATAGATATCGGGGTACTGATGAGTTAGTGCCTCATGCTATGATTATATATACCAGGAAATCATCATAAACTGCGCAGCACATCAATATTCATATAAAACAGTTGATACCTCAGATAGAAATATGTCAAATATTAACAAGGACGATGAATCAGGTGCCTACAAGCTAACAAGTGGATCGTGTTCAAAAGTTTATATAGAAAGAACGTCTAGAAATCTGATAAACGGTTTTTCTTAACGAGTACTTTTGAACAAAAAAGAAGTTTTGAACTGAAGAACACCAATTGCACTTATATCAGCTACCTTTTCAGGAACAATCACGATTTCGACATGTACTATGTCGAAAAAATTGAAACTGGAATTGAAATCAATAAATGAAAACAATCCAATAATATATTGAATGGCCAATGAGTAGTTAATCACTCACCATTATTAAAATTATTTTCATAAAGTTACGAAAATTCAAATCGTTATCAACCATTTATTGTTTAAATTTTATCTGAGTACCTAGAATTAATATTGCATGGTGAATACTCTTTCTCAAAATCTACATGTTTACCTAGAATTCCCATTATCAGCTAATTCAAATTCTGTAACCAATATAATAAGAAAAATAGTTCAATGTACCAGTTCGAGTGAGGAAGTTTGCTGCATAGTGAAACGTTTTATTATAAGTGTTCTATTATTCGGAATTGCACAAATGCACATTGAACAGTTGTTACTGGCGATAGCGCCTGTGTAGTGGTATTTTTTTTTATCATATTTCCTGAATTTATAATTATAAGGAAACAAGTATAGCTGAGGCACCAGTCAATCTAATAATAACACTGATGAATTTCAAACAAGACTCAAACTTCTGACGGAAGCAAAAAACTCTTTCGAAGGTTCAGAATAAATGAACATTTCAATCTAGCAGACCACTATTACAATATTCATGCAGTCATTGTTCACTGTGGTTCTGGCGTTGAATTTGGTCATTATTACGCCTTGGTCAAAGACGAACCGGACTGGTTTAAGTTTGACAATAGTCATGTCACGAAGTGTTCTGGCGATGTATTGAATCCATTGGAGCCTTTGGAGACACCCTACATTTTATTTTATGAGAGAGGACATTGACAGATCAAGATCTTAAGAAGATGTGGTGCTGCAGGTTTTTCCGGGTTTTCCTGCAGCTGAAACAGCAAATGTGCCACTGGAATCAATGAAGTCGCCCCAGAGCGCCAATAAATTTTTATTGTTGTTTTCATTCATGTTCATAATATAGGTATTTTGTGAATTCATAATATATTTTGTCACAAACAAGATGTAGATCCCTATGTTTCTGTGATTGTCGTGTATATTTATTTTTGATTTCATTGATAATAATTTGTATCAATATATACGAATATTACTGGAGTTTTTTTCCAAAACCAACCGTGTTTCGATCACCAAGTGATCAAAATAAGATTCGAGGTGTTGAAATAAAGTTTGGTGTTGGAAGAAAAAATCCAGTTATATTTAAGTGCCGTGAAGTTATCCACAGATTTCTGGCCACACATGCTGACGTAGAGGAGAATAAAAAACTGTGTTTGGGATATGAAATTATAAACACCCGTACTAATATATGTGGCTGGAAATACCTATCCACTACCGGGTGTCAACGAATCTATTAGACAAGTCATAATTTCTAGACTATTAGGAGAATTGAAATGAGATTTGGTATAGTTGAATGTTATGTGGAGAGGAATGTTTTCACATATTTTTCACTTTCCGGTCACTTCCGGTTTCAGCGGAAATGGCTCCGGTTCTGAATTTTTAAATGGAACACCCTGTATATTTATCTGTATGGTGACGAGAAAACGGTTTTCATTATGTTGATCTACCCAAGAAACTATGGAAGTTGTATGATTTTGATGAACGCACATCATCGGGTATCATTTCTACATGGGGTATTGGAAAGTAAGTCTGATATTTCCAATATTATTATTCCCTAAATCTGTATTGTTGATGAGAAAACGGTTATCAACGCGTCAATCTACTCAAGATTCTATAAAAAAATTATACACCAAATAGTCTTAATAATTCCACGTTCAACCTATAGTGATAGGTATTTCTAGCCACAGATATTAGTGCGGGTGCTAATAATTTCGTATCCCAACCACATATTTTTATTTTACCCTACGTCAGCATGTGTGGCCAGAAATCTGTGGATAACTTCACGCCAATTAATATTCATTACTACACCAAAGGTTCCAAACAGTGCATCACAAAAATATATACGAAAATAAACATTATTATCATTATTACTGAAATCAAGGCAATTTCATTCAAAAATATTTTCCGAATTTGAGAAATGACTATCTTTTTTGATTTTATAAATCCTCAGGAATGTCAGAAATGAACGAATAACTTCAATCAGCCAAAACTGAAACTGCTATAATTTGATTCATTCCATCGGAATGATATTTTCAAATTTTCAAATGAAAATGATGTTTCAGGTCAAGTGCTATCCACCTCCAGATGCTTTCAATCCATGTGAAGATTTGATGGGTAACTGGGGATTACGAATTCCAGTGTGGTTCATCTCTTTGTCAGCAGTTACTGGCAACCTATTCGTCGTAATAGTCATCTCAACTTCCCATTTCCGACTGACAGTGTCCAAATTTCTGATGTGTAATTTAGCCATAGCTGACCTGTGCATTGGAATTCATTTATTGTTGATAGCTACAGTTGATGCTTGCTCCATTGGAGTTTACTTCAACTCTGCGATAGATTGGCAGGAAGGTAAGTTGATACTCGATAGAGAAATAAATACATGTTTTTGTTTCGTACACTCTATACAGAAAATGACAGTGATTATACAATAAATCACAGCTCTGTACGTAAAAAAAGAAATCTATGGCATGTTTCGTCCTCAGAGGGACACAATACTTCTCAACTGATAAAAAGTTAGTGATTTTTAAAATTTCATTTCATTAGTTCTTTCTTTACTATAATTGGAAAATGTCAAGTCCATGAAAGTGAATGATTATTTGTTAGAATATATCATTGTTATTTTATTTCAAATATTCATTTGAATTTGAAATATTCAACCAAAAAAATTCTCTTTTTCGAATTAATCTGATTGTATTGAATGGATTCAAAAAAATCAGTATCACGTTTCTATTGAAACATTCATACTTTGCATACTTTTCTGTTTACAAGCACTATTCTTCTGTTTGAAAATACTCCTTTTTGACTCTGATAGTCTATTTTTAATTTTAATGTTAGGTTGATTGGTGTCTATCTTTGTTAAGCATATCTGACGTGTTACCTAAGTTAGTATGTTACAATGTCGGCTCCTGTATTGTAACTGAACACTTCTTCAACTGATAAATTAATGGATTGATCAATAAACAGCAAAAATATGCTGAATGATTTGTTGAATTTCTCCGGATCTGCCAACTTTGAATTTCATATTTTTATTTCATTTTCAAACTTTCCAGTCATATTCAGTGATATTATCAATTACTCCTAGATCAACATATGTATGGGTTTCAGCTTCAATTAATTTATGCGATCTTTGGGAGCCCTGTTTATTTTTGATATTCGAGAATTGAGTTTTGTATCGAAACCATAGTTGGGGTCTTCATATAAAGAGAAGTCATCATCTCCACTATTATAACTTCATTATGTATCATTTCATTTATCGATTGACAAAGTTCAAATTGAACCATAGATGAGTGAAAAATCATCAAAAAATTTGTTTTTTTTTTCATATCTCTAAAAGTAAATGATATGGTTTGAAGTTCCTTTTTTAATTTTCAAAATACCTTGTCACATATAATGAAGAGATATCAGTACATCTTGTATTCAAACAACAGCGACAGGTTCAAATGAATCGTTCTTAATTTTCTATTTCGTTCAATCATTCGTTTTCAATTTCAGGAAATGGTTGCAATGTAGCTGGTTTTCTTACTATTTTCGGCAACATACTTTCTGTTTACACCTTGGCTGTAATCACGACAGAACGCTGGTATACTATAACCTGGGCTATACACCTCAACAAACGACTCAAACTCCGAAATGCTGTCAGAGTTATGGTGGCTGGCTGGATTTGTGCACTTCTGATGGCCGTGTTACCTCTAATAGGAGTTAGCAATTATTCCAGAACAAGTATATGTTTGCCTCTAGAAAACAAAGGAAAAGCGGATGTCATTTACTTGTCTACGTTATTAGCTTTCAATGCTGTAGCTTTTGCATTGATATGTGTATGCTATGGAAGTATGTATAAGTCTATACGAGAAGGTGAGTGGGGTATTGTATAATCATAATTATACATAAGGAATTGATTAAAAAAAACGAAATTACAATATAAACGTCGGTGATAACTTCAAAGTTATGAGACAACTGGATTTACGTGTCAAACAATTTTTTACTTCAACGGCATCGACTATTATGGTCATTAACCTGGTGTGCTTGATAAGTTATAGTGATAACTTCCCGTGACACGTAGAGGGCATCATAGCTATTCGCAGTAGCATCATCTCACGAAAAATTATATAGTTGAAACTAGTTTGCAACTCAGGATCTCTAGGTACCGGTGTTTTGAGTAGCAATAGCAGAAAATAATCATTCAAAATCTCGTTGGGTTTTTCAAATTTATTGAATATAAACCTGATTTTTCTTTCCTGGACAATAAAAACTCGTTTTTCGCCCCTCTCCAAATTATAACAGTGATATTGATTATACTATCGCATAATGAATATCGAGCAATCCTGATTCATTCAATATTAAATTTAGTGCTTTATGGCATAGTATGCTAGTATGTTCTTTGAGCATGATCTACTTGAATATTACCGTTTTAAAATAACAGTTTGGTGTTGGGAAAACACCAAACCAAACAAAAAACAAAACATAAGTTGATTCCTTTGACACCAATGCACTGAACTGGTAGAAAATACTTTCAGGTTTGCAGATGAGTTGCTCAACATTTTGTCCCATTTTTCTGGCCCTGACATTGAACCATTACAAATTATCTTCATGTGTGATAAAATCAAATATATCATATGACTTGGGAGACGTGAGCTGATAATTTAGAAAATAAAAACTCTGAGCACATTGTATCGAAGGCCATCGATAAATCATAAAATAGACAGGGGACATCATTTTTATTATCAGTCTCACTGTATATTAGCTCGTTGGATGTGATAAAAAGCTGATTCAACAAAGTTTTTCTTCTAAAGTCATGTTAAGTATTACATTATTTTTCAAATGGTCTATATTTCCTATCGAAACTACTTATTCACAGAGTTTTGATATGAAGAAGAGTGAGGAAGTTTGACTATAATTTCCGTCTTTTTAGAACATTGGGAAAGATACCTTGAAGAGATACCAGGTTCATTAGGTAAGTTAAAGGTCTAATAATTGCGGAAATGATTCCAATGAGCTTGATTATAAGAGTTCATCAATGCCAGCAAATGTTTTATTTAACATTTCGGACAGATTACTAATAAGTTAACCCTTTATATATCATAACTAGTGACATGACCCGGTTCCGCACAGGTAGTAAACATATATGCCTACATATTTTTCTATAACATAGTGTCACATAAGCTTTTCCATGAATGAGGTTCCTGTTTTTACCCAGATTTCGTATTTTTAATGATATAAAGGCTGGAAATTTTGCCCTCTACATAGTTCGAAGATAGTCTAAAACAATCGAGAGTAAGTAAAAACATTCCACAACATTCCTTAACATCCCGAAACATTCTGAAATGTTGTAAAATATTATAGATGTCAGGTATCTCCTATCAGATGTAATGTCAGAGTGGACATGATCAATGTAGGAGTGCAATCGAACATAGTAGTTAATGGTATCATTCCTTAAAAAATAATCATCGATCCTAATCGAAAGTTGACCAAACGAGTTACATAGCGAAGTCAGGTACTCTAGCTCGTTTCCAAAATTATTATTTAATTGCTGCAGAGGTCTCCAAAAAGCCCGAAGAAACGCAAAACGCAATGAGCCCAATCACTTCACTACATGGGAGAAGAAGATTTCAAAACGTTTTCTTCATTTAAAATAGCAGATAGTGATGAAAACAAACTGTCAGTTCTTTCACAGGATTCTGAATCTCATTTCAAAGGAAAACAAAACGTTGTATATGAGCGCTACAAATTCTTCAGCTATAAACAGGAACCAGGTCAGTCAACAAAAAATGTTATCACTGAACTCAAACAACAGGCAGATAAATGGTAGTATTAGAAACAATGTTGTTAGAGAAAGGCTTTTGGAAGAGGACAATGTTACATTGAACTGAGCAGAGGTACTTTGCAAAATCATTGACTAGGCAAAGTCAAAAAGCGAAGTCATGGGTACAACAGAACAGTCAGTCCTGAATGAAAATGCTGTTCAAATCAATAAAAAGTTAAGTTCCCAAGCCATTAAGAATTGTAGTAGATGTGACAAAACTCATAACATAAATAACTGCCCCGCATTTGGGAAACAGTGCAGTTTTTGCAAGGTCAACAACCACTTCGTGCAGGAAGAAGAAAAAGCAGACACTTGGGAGAGTCCAGGAAATAGCAGATGGTAGTGAAATTGAGTGTATAGTAGATGATAAGATTCCATTCATAGGCAATCATTCATCAGGTGAATGAATCGACAGTAAGGAATGGATTACTCAAATACAAATAAATGGAAGGTAATAACAACAGGACTTTCAAAAAAGAATCGTGTGGTATTCCACAAGGATCAGTTTTAGGATCCATCTTATTCTTATTATATGTCAATGACATTGCAAATTTGAGCATTTCTAGGAATTTACCTCTTTTTGCTGATGACACGACGATATTGTGGAACAACAAAAACTCAAATGATTTACACACTGCAATATCTACTGATATGAAAAAAATCAAGAAGTGATATCACGCTAATTTGCTATCCTTCAATATTAATAAAACGAACATTTGATGCGCTCTTGATGACCTGTCATTGTTTGATAACTTAGTGATCAAGAACGAAACTCAATCTTAATTTCTAGGTATTCACATTGACAATACATTCAAATACATCAAACAACTTGAAAGTAAAGTTTGTTCTGGATGTTATGCTGTGGGAGTAACTTCAATGAATTTGAGAATCAAAACTGCCAGAACGGTGTATTACGCCCTCGTAGAATCCCACCTACGTTATGGAATACCGTTTTGGGGAGTATGCAATTCATCAGCACTTCTGCCTGTATTAATACTGCAGAAACGGACTATCAGGTATATGTATAAGATTAAACCTCGTGATTCATGCAGACAAAATTCGGTAAGCAAAAGATTTTAACAGTGATTGTTTTGTTCATTTTGGAAACGGTTTACCTCATTTACAAAAATATATCTCTATTTGAGGCTTCATGTCATTCTTAAAGCACCCGTTCAACCGCGTTGAAATTGCCAATTCCTTTAACAAATTTGGTCAGGCATTCTATTTATTACGATGGGGTCAATATATTTAATCACTTGCCCTCATATATAAGACAGGCAAATAAATTCAAAAACCTGATTTACAGTTTTATGATGTGAATGGTGAAACCATAATTTCAGTAGACAGCTCACAGTCAGGGCTAGGGTCGTGTCTTTTACAAAATAAACCCCCATGTGCATACGCATCAAAAGCAATGACAGAAGCACAGACCAGGTATACACAAATCGAAAGGGAACTCTTGGCTATCGTGTTCGGTCTAACTAGATTTCACGAATATATTTTCGGGAAAAGTAACCGTTGAAGCTGACCATTTTCCCAGATTTTTCCAGACAAACTCAAGTCTGGGCTCATAAACCCAGTTTATAAAAAAAGGTGACCCCCCACTTCACTGAAAACTACAGAGGAATTGGTCTTCTATTAAGTTTTAGCAAGCTTTATGAGTTGAGTATAAAAAATCAACTTCTTTCATCCTTAACTATGAATAAGTTGCTATCTTCAAGTCGGCATGGTTTCACAAATGGCAGAAGTACTGAAACTGCTTTATATAATTTTCAAGAAAATGTAATAACAGCCTTGGATGGAAAAGTCCAGATTTGTGGGCTATTTATTGACTTTTCTCGGGCCTTTGATTGTGTTAATCACGACCTCTCATTAATTAAGCTCGAGCGATATGGTATAAGAGGTATAGCATTGATTTTAACGAAATTATACTTAACTGATCGATCCCAGAGTGTAATCATCAACACAACTCAGAGCCAATCTCTCATTTTTAAACAGGGAGTTTCCCAAGGCTCAATTCTTGGACCTTTGTTATTTTTAATTTATGCTAATGATCCCATTAATTTCCTTCTTGATATCTCTGAAGTCCAAGTAATATCATATGCTGATGATACAAATCTACTCATAACTGGCGAAGATACTACTGAACTTGTGATAACATCAGAAATGGTATACAATAAAGTAATGGAGTGATCCAAAATAAATCATCTAATGGTGAATGTATCTAAAACCTCTTTGATGAAATTCACTTTGAGGGGAACTATGGAACAGTTTCAAATTTTTAAAGACGATGACATGAATGTATATGCTAGTGAAACGACTGAGTTGCTTGGACTAACAACCGACTAAAAATTGTGCTGGGAACCACACGTTGATATACTTTGTAAAAAGTTAAGAAAGAATTGTTATGCGTTGAAGTTCTTATCAAATCATTGTCACGAAAACATAATACTAATAGTTTATTATGCAAACATCAACTGTCATCTGCGATATGGTATTCTTGACTGGAGTACATGTACATCTTGGTCACCTGTTTTCGCTCTGCAAAAATTTGCTGTGAGAATTGTTGCAGTACTAAATTGGAGGCAGTCATGTAGAGAGGCTTTCAAACAACGAAAGACATTAACTTTGACAGGCTTGTATCTGTATGAACTGTATATATATATGTATACAAACATAAACGTAAATTCTTCAATAGAACAGATCATCAATATGACACAAGATCCAGAAATCTTCTTGTGCCTGCTGTGCACAGAACTAACCTATATCAAAAAAGTCACTTATATTTGGGATGCAAAGTTTTTAATCACCTCGATGTCTCTATGCAAACATCTCCAAATATTAATATTTCTGAATCCAGACTTGAAGCATTTCTTATTGAGAAAAACTGTTACAGTATTAGTGAATTTATTAAGATAATGAAGAAATTAATATGGCACTTCTCTTGTACCGTAATATGCCTATTGATGGCATTCAAACTAATGAAATATCATTAGTTTGGACTTCCATTGTCTAATATGATATAAATTGATTTGAAATACCTGAAGAAATC